AAACTTCAATCTTAAGGTCTCTAATGATAACTTGTTCCAAGGAAAACCTCTGGAGAGGACCTTTATTTTGTGCACGAACAAATTGAAACATGTTCCCCRAGGWAAAAGTTTAGAGCTCATRAAACAACAGAAGCAAGTCGCAGATAAGCTAAAAGTATATGAAAGGTGGAACSCAGAGCAACTGCTAGATTACCTGAAGAAACATCTTCCAGGCCTSAAAGATGTTTCAGATAATAAAAGGTGAGTCAATTCCCTTCATATTTATTTAAACTTTGTGCTTTAAAATCGCTAGCCTTATCATAGTTAATAACTATGGCCTAATGCATTGTATTGTGTTGCTCCAGCATCACCTTGTTCCGTTCAACTCAGAGCGGGAACAATTTCGAGAAGGTTTCCAATGAGCTTCCCGATGCTAGTCACCTGCAACGCTTGTTCAAGGGATCAAAATCAAAGAGGATTTTCAGATCAGGTAAATCAATTTCGAGAAGGTTTCCAATGAGCTTCCCGATGCTAGTCACCTGCAACGCTTGTTCAAGGGATCAAAATCAAAGAGGATTTACAGATCAGGTAAATCATTGGCATTTGTCAATACGGAAAATGTTTGAAAATCAAATCAGTTTATTTTTATTCCAAAGTCTCGTTTCCTTTTTTTCAGCAAAAGATTTCTAAAAATCATGTTATTATTTATTGGACGGAATTTTTTTATTTTGCCACCTCCGAAAAGATACTAAAATCATTTGAAAGTTAACTTTCGATATTTGCTCTTTTGCCTCTTTTAGCAGCGTAAATATATATAAAGCAATGTTTTCCTGTACCCTCCTCCACTGACAACCTTCGCTTTGAAGTCTTTTAGCTTTTCCTTCACTTGGGTGGTTCTTCATGTGTTATTTAGGGGTGAAAACATCGACGCGGTTGCCTGCGGCGATTTGGTATAATGCCAGAACACCACAGGCAAGGAGCACACACTTCTGCTTCCGCAAAAATCCGACAAAATCCTTTTTATAAATATTGAAACGTTCTTTTTTATTCCTTTTTCAGAAATTATATGTATCATCAGTAACTCCGATGATCAAAACAGCATAACATCTACTCTTACTCCCCCTACGAAAATACTTAAGGTGAGTCATCCAGAGCGGCGTCCAGACCATCATGAGAAGTTTTAACTTAAAATTAACTTGATAACTTAAATTGACTTAAAATTTAACTTGGCTATATTATTGACCCTTTGGACCCGTTGGACATTCATAAAGATTTTACTATCCCTGTGGACATTGTTATGTGCCAATTTGTGATCAAATTATAACCTAAATTTTGATCTGATACATCAATTTCAGATTGAAAATGATTCAGAAAATACAAATATATCGAATGAGCAAAAGTTTCCCAAGAAAGGCGAAGATAGGTAATAAAGATTGTTATCGTATTTTTTATTATTTTTATTATTATGTTTTCATGCGTTATGGTGGGTTTCTTGTGACGTCATGACGTAACCGTCAATCAAAAAACGTTACATTTTGAGAGGGAAGTTTTCGGTACGGAAATGATAATAAAAAACAGGCCTGTAGGTTTGGGAATTTCGGGGAAAAGGTTCGGTGCTCCTCTTTTTTATTACTCTATTTTATTCATTTATTGAATCCATCTTCGAACATTTGTCACAGACTAGTTTTTTCCCGCAAGGGATCACTGACGTAATACTACAGGTATCCCGCATCAAGCTAAAATCTCAAAAAGACAGCCTCCTAACGGGCCTGATTAGCCGGATAGTCTGTGTCATAAAAAATAATAATCAATTATTAATTCTTGGTAATCTTTCTTTTTACTTCCACTATCTTGAATATCCTTTTGGAAAATCCAGAAGAACTAAACTTAAAATGCAAACTGTCAGCAATTCGAGAGGACAAGATGACAATGGTGCCTATATATCCAAGGGTAGTGCCAAGCGGCTATTCCAGTACAGTACAGCTGATGGTGCACGCACAGTCCATGAAGAAAATGGGACTTTCTTTGCGAACGTGAAAACATCAAAAGGATACAAGCGGGATTACGTCCCCGATAATGAGGTTTTCGAACTAACAAGATATTACAGAGCAAGTAAATCGAATCCAACATTTACTCGCAATATTTCCACTGTAAAGGGTGCTAGAGAGAAAGACATACGGCCTTTCTTCCTCGTCATGTACAAGTGTTCTGGAGAAGTAAAAGAGTTCGTTACCCAACGGGATGGGAATGCTAAAAAATCTACGTCATCCAACTACTTCCATAAAGATCCTGAAGTTTTCAAAACCATCGACACTATGTTGGAGAAAGGATTGTCAACCGACAAGATATATAATGAAATGATACAGAGTAGCATCAACACTGTCAGCCAAACCATCTCCCATCCTAAAATGATCGCAAATCGAAGACAGAACAACAAAGGCCACAAGGATACCACTTCTGCGAACCAATACAGCGAAGCAGAGACTTTGATCGCCAGTCTGCATAAAATACCCATAATTCACAGTGTTACCTTCACAAAGGAACAATATGCAGCAGTAAATTTTCAGAGTTATGTGCTTGCTTAACGATATCTACCGTTTCTGTGTTCTTGGTAACAGCGTTCTACAGGTCGATACAACTTTTGAGCTCGTTGATGGTCTTTGGCTCACGGACACATCATTTCAGCATGAAGGCCTTATCTGCGAAAGGGACAGTAGACGCCACCCGGAGTTCCCAGGTCCGAGCTTTTGGCACTTTTGCAAGAACCGCGAAACCTATCGCAGATTTGCTGGGGAGTTGCTCATTGAAAAACCGGAATTGTCCGGAATAAAGAAAGTTGGTAACGGCTTGGATAAAGCTATCGCCAAGGGAATGAAGGATATCTTTAAAGATGCTAAAAATGTAAAAGTGGTCAGATACACAGGGAACGTGTACCTTCACTTTCTGACCACATGTTTAAAAGACTACGATCAGAAGTTCGAGTTCTCCGCCATCACTGTGCCAAAGCGCACCTTGCAATTTCTCCCGGATGGGGGAGTTTCAATGCTAAAAGCAAAAGGGCTTCACGTTGAATCTTAATTATGCATTAAGTTCGTAAACTGAGTACTTGAGTACGAGTTTTATTATCAGCAATTTTGCTTTAAAACAAAACAGAAAAATTTAATACAGCAAATTGAAAAAAATAAATACATCAATTTAATATTTTAAAGACATTGTCTTAACCACATAAATTAATTTTAACAAATTAATTTGACAGGGATGATAACAGATCTAGAGTAATTATAAGAATGGAGGATGGTTCTTTTGCTTTTTTATCTAAGCCTCCAAAGAGAAAAAAGGAGACAGATTTCGAGAAATGTGTGATATGCCAATCAAACAGTGACCAGAATTTACGACAACCTAAAGAAAGTTTGATATCTAAACTTATCTCTGCCTGCGAGATCCGTCAAGATGACGTTTTCCATCGTATCTCTGGTGTTGAGTTGAAAGAAAAAAAAAGTATTACAGCACTCCTCTTGTTATGAATGTTATACAAGCAAGGAAAATCTTCGATACGTCAGTAACACGGCCTGAATTTCGACCTCAACGCATACCATTTGAATGGCAATTGAAATGCGTATTTTACAAACAAGCATCGCGGAAAAAAGATAAAAATCTCATAAAAATTACACCTAACGGTTCTCAGAGTATCAGGCAGGCAATAAAAGATAGAGGATATGTTGAATTACTGGCTTTCCTGGAGAGCGTGGATTTAATCACAGTTAGTGCTAGATACCACAAGGACTGTCATGCTTCTTACACAAGCGCAAAAAACATCAAAAGTCGTCAATATCTTGCTAAGTCAACATTTYAACAAGATGTATTTGGTGAGGCCTTTGAATAATTTCTTGATGGATTCAAGCCCGCTATAGATGCTGGGAAGGTGTTAGATATGAACTCACTCCTTCAAAGTTACCGAGAATGTCTACAGAGACGAGGGGTTGATGGTTGCAGTTACACAATCTCTAGTACCAAAATCCCTCTACTGGCTACTTCGATGGATAGTAACTGGTGAAGAATTTGGACTTAGCCAAGAATCATGTACAAATACGTCTGACGAGCATAAGGTCATCATGATTTCTCAAGACATAATCCACTCATCTACAGTACGTGATGTGCGATTGTTTCTTCGTTTTGCCTCATATTACCGAAGGTTCGTCCCCAAGTTCGCTCAAGTGGCAGGGCCACTTCACAAGCTAGTTGCTGAACTCGGGAATGGAGGTAGTAACAAGACAACCAAGAGGCAGATTGGAGTGCTATGGACCACTTAAAGAACCTATTAACCTCAGCACCAGTACTGGCGTACCCGGACTATAATAAGCCCTTTATCCTGGAGATGGATGCATCCAACGATGGATTGGGAGCTGTGTTGACCCAAGAACAGGATGGAAGAGTCAAAGTGACTGAGTATGACAGCAGAGGCCTGAGAGGTGGCGAGCGCAACATGGAGAACTACTCATCATGGAAGCTGGAATTGCTAGCCCTGAAATGGGCTGTGAGTGAGAAATTCAGAGAATACCTGCTGGGATCAAAGATTGTCGTCTTCACAGACAACAACCTGTTGACATACCTACAGTCAAAGTGCAAGCTAAAAGCTGTGGAGCAAAGATCGGCTGCAGAATTAGCAAACTTCGACTCCAAAATCAAGTACCGCCCTGGGCGTCACAACCAGAATGCAGATGCTCTGAGTCGCATAAACCGAGATGAAGAACCAACCGTGGTCGAAGTAAGAAGTACACTTGCCTACTCGACCAATACTACAGACTTACCAGAAGAAGCAACAGTTGATGGTATCAGCAGCATTTGTAAGCAGCATAGGGACACGTGCACTAGATGAGCAAGCAACCTCATTTCCAATCATACCTCTCACAGAGATCCAATGACTACAGCAGGAGGATCCATGCATCAGCCGCCTCCTCCATTACAGAGAAACCATTCAATGCATGTAAACGGATTTAGAAATAAATTTGTGATTGCCAAGTACAAATTTCAGACAATTGTATTTAAGATGTTTATTTTTGGCTAGTAGAAGACTTTTAAAATGGCAAGGTTTGTAAAATAACAATTGTGCTAATTAAACCTTGACACATTTCAGAATTTTCGTTATTGTATTTCTTTTGTTAGCATTTGACTTTTTAAGTTTATTTCCCTTAATTAAGCTGTGACATACTTGCAATTTTCTGGATA